CATTGGCCTACCGCTTGTACTAATAAAGTGCCAAGGGCCTAAGTGGTCACCTTAATATTTAAAAAAAAAAAAATTATATATATTATATATGTGTAATGTGGCTGACCTCCCCCTAGAATATTACGTAATATCTGTCATGGCCCTAACAGAACTGTTTTTTAATAACTTTTAATAAATTTTTGGATTAATTTTTATTAATAATTAATATAGGTTATTAAAAAAAACTGGTTCTGTTACAGTGTAGAGCTAGTCTAGAACTACAGTTTTAAAAAAAAATAGTACAATTTTGTCTATTAGTTGTGTAGAAAAATGTATCTAAATTAGTACAAATTCATATAATATCGATAAGCTTTGCATTAAATGTTATTATGTTGCTACAATAATAGTGATTTTAAAGCAATATATGATATAGTATTTAAAGAAGCTATACAAGTGTTAACAGCTTTAAAAATCTTTAATAGGTTGAAGTTGGTCTACAAAACTCTTTGACATATAATGTCAGGTTTTTATATGATATTTCAATTAAGTATTTTCTTATTTAATTAAACATTATCAATCAATACAAGTAATTAATTTCTCATTTCAATTTTTATTCATATGATTTAAGGTTTTCTCAAGCACATACCATATTTCGCCTTGTAGAGTACCCCTGGTTGACTGTACCCTCTTGATTTATACTGGGTATATTATCAGGTCTATAACTTGTATTTTTAGTACAAGACCTGGTATGAGTAGAGGTTTTATGCATATGATATATAAAACATATTGTTTTCATAACATGATCATTACACAAGACCCTGTATAGTATGCTCTCTTCTATACAGTATACCCGAGGTATAAATCAAAAAAAACCTGTGTATATTGTAAGAGACCCTGGGTACTCTTCATAGCGAAATACTGTAAGTTATTATTATAGGTCAAACTCGGAAAGTAGTTTAACCAATAAGTAGATTTATTATCATGATAAAAAAAAGTTTGAAGCCATCTTTTTTTTGTCAGACTTCAGCAAAATTACAGTAGAGATCGCTTCACTTATACATGATCTCAATATCTATCCAATCACATTGAAAGCACCCTTAGTCTAAGGTTAATGATTATTTATTGGTCTAAATATTTAATATGAGATACTCACTTCTCATTTAGCTTTTTATCCATATAATTATCATCTACCAAGAATATTTCTAAATTATATAAATTATTATAAACAGATCTGTATAGTATAGAGTGAGAAATAACTATATTTTTAATTCTGTTCTGGCACCATATATTATTAAGGTTATCATTGGAAAATTGTAGTGGATTGTTATGTAAAGAGGTATACATTATACTAAATACATCTAAAAATCTTATGAAATTTTTTATTTGTTTAAATTGTAGTGTCTCATATCAATATAGTTATGTTGTATTTAGTTGCATACCTGATATTTATTTATCTGAATTCAAAAACTATAACTCTTAATAAAGCTAATATTCATCTGTTCTTGTTTAGCACGCAGCTACTTATGAGAAAGGGTGATCACTAGAGCCACAAGGATTTTAGCAGTAGCAAAGGTAGCACTAGCTATATCATGACAACCACATTGTTTTATTTTAATTCTATATGTTTATAAAAATAAAATCTATATGTCTATAGAATAAAAATAAAACAATTTGGTTGTCGGGATATAGCTAGTACTACCTTTGCTACTGCTAAAATCCCAGTGGCTCTGGTGATCACCCTATAGTTTTTATTTTTTTATTTATCGCTACTGGTGATCACCACCAGTATCATTGATAGCTAGGCCTTCGCATGGGCCAGATTGGGCTAAATATCAGTACACCTGAGCCCTACCCGTATATATAAGGGCCTAATTTTCTGGATCCTGCCCCCACCCTTGGGCTTAAATTTCAGTATCCTTACCCAGCCTGTTAAGTTGCGAATACCCTCTGAACTACCTGTGGGCTCTATCCATGAGTGCCACCAAGAGAAAATCTGTATTGGGTTTTCAATTATGTTTTGTACTGGGCATATTCTCTAATAAATTAAATAGATTATGTCCAGTACAGAATATATTAAAAGCCCGATGACAGGTTTTCACTCAGTGGACTCGAATATTTGAACATATAAATTTAACTCAAAAAAAAATAATGCGTAATTTTCTTACAATATTTAACTCTAAAAGTGACTCACCAAAATAAAGCTTTAAATTTTTTTTTAAAAAAAATAAAAAACTATAACAAAAATTGGACCCGAATTTAAAAAAAAATTGAATTTAAACTTGAATTTGACCCAAATTTAAATGTAAATTTTTTTAAATTTTGAATTAAATATCTGAATCTCTTATTTTTTTAGTCAAAACAGCAGCCCTTAATATAATAAACACTAATTAAAATCTTGATCAAACTAGTTAATATAAAATTTTCTTTATTTATTGCATAATTTACAAAATTCTTATCACACAAATTTATATTATAAGTAGGGTAAGTGGCACAAAGTCATAGGCATGCCATGGTAGCATGTCCAAAACCCAAATAGTTAATAAGAAAAGCTAATTTATATAAGAATTGGATAGCAGGTTCTAATAATAGAATGAGTCACTTTGTTGTAAAGAATAACTTGTATTTGATTCCATTATAACATTTAATAACTGGAAAGTATTTCTATATTTTTTTAAAATTCACCAAGCTAAACTAAATTGATTTTATCAATTTTGCATAATCTAACAAAAAAATTCAATATAAAATCAAAAAAAAAATTTTTAAGATCAAAAAAAAAAAATCATTATAAGAACAAAAAAAAAAATATTTTTATAAGATCAAAAAAAAAAAAGGATAACCCTCTGTTGATTTTTGAAAATTTACAGCTTCCAACCAAACTTTTTAGCTGCATCTAACCAATTTCTTTGACACATTAATGCAGCTATCATATTTGCATCCAACGAAGCATGGCTATCATCAATAATACGACCTGTGCAACTAAACATCTGTTTAGATATAACACTTGTTGCAGGTATAGCGAGAAAGTCTTTAGCTATTGCTAACAAATTAGGAAACCGACTCTTATTATTTTTCCACCATTCAAGTACATTGGTGGTTTTTGAAGATATCGGCTCACCCAAATACTGCTTTACTTCACAAAGCAGATCTTTTTCAGTAAACTGAGTTTGCCTTACCACATATTCAAAGAAATCATCTGCGTGATTTTCAAATATTGATACATCATTTTTGGTATTGATTATCTCTTGATCAATGGCTAGTGATAAGTAATATGTACGAAGATATATATTTTCAAATCTTAATATTAAAAATTTAACAAAAAAAATTAAATAAAATAAAACAAAATAAAAATTAA